GAGAGAGAGAGAGAGAGAGAGAGAGAGAGAGAGAGAGAGAGAGAGAACAACCACCCCGTTGCCACCCAGATGAGCAGATCCAAAGTAGAGACAACTTGACCTCTATTGCAAGCATCATGAAGCAGAGATTCAAAGTTGAGATGAGACAGCTTTACCTCTATAGCAAACAACATGAAGCACACTATAACCGTTATTTTCCCTTGTCCTTGTACAGTCCTTTCTTCGCTTCTCGGGCCTGACCAGCTCTCTGTTTTATGATTTTTATGATTTTTATGATTTTTATGATTTTTATGCTTTTGTGGTTTCCCCAAGAAAAGGAAAATTAAAAAAAAAAAAAAAAAAAAAAAAAAAAAAGAAAAGAAAAGAAAAGAAAAGAAAAGAAAAGAAAAGAAAAGAAAAGGAAACTCTTGATCTAGAACAGACTGGGAAGAAGAGAATCGAAGGTTCAGGAAGGAACATTTGCTGATTGTTAAACGACTGCCACCCGCTGTGACAGACTCCAGAGAACATCCTCGCTGGCTGTTTGGGTACTGTTCGGATCCCCGACCGTCTGCGTCATTCCTTTTTTTCCCTTCTTCTCTCTCTTTTTTTTTTTGCTTTTTATAAAACGCCCAGGTTGTTGTAGAGGCAGGGTATCAGGTGCGGGTGTACTCTCCGGGGTTAAGTCACTCAAAGGTTGGAATGACCCACTTGGCCCTCTGGATGCTCCTAGACGGACACCTCTAAGGGGTTAGAGCCCCGCAAGTCCTATCTCAAGTCGTGTCCCCTGCACACACCTACCAGCTTGCCACTAGAGATCGGATTCTGTCCCAACAGATCCAACCTCCAACTGGATGTATCACGGGCCCACTCTATGCAGTTTTGTCCCCCGACCATTGACTTGACAGATCCCTGGCTGATCCCCCCTTGGTCAGGAGGCATAGAGGGCCCACCTCCCTCCTATTAACCTAGAATAGACCTGAGGTCATCGGAACAACGATCGGACCGAACCCCGAAAAGCCCTCCCCCAAGCCCATCCCAGYGTATACAACAACCATGGACGAGACGAGGACCCCTTGGGCGGTGCAAGGTAGTCTCTTTATAAACATACTATGCGTCGTCCAAAAGGGGGGTGTGCAAATGGCTGGGCAGTGAGTCCTATGAAAGCGCCTAACGGCGGGCCGACGTGTGCAAGGCTGCAATTGAGTTTTGAACCCCCTGCAACCTCATATACCGCAATGCGCATTTCCAGCCGGTGCTCTAACCACACTGAGCCACAGGGGTCTGAGAATCAAGTTTTGGATAGTGGTGCTCCAAGTGTGAGGTTTTCATGTCTGCTGTGGTTGGGCAGGGTATGCTTGTACTTCTTTTTTTTTTTTCCTGATGTTCTTGTACATTCACTCTGCAACATGAGCAACTGCAAAAAAAAAAAGAAAAAGAAAAAGAAAAAAAAAAAGCATAACTGTACTCTTAAACCGCCAGTACGTCCGCCAGCTATTTTGTTGTTGACATGGCCGTTAACATGCCGCGTTATGTTAACAGTCGGATCTGTTAACACGACGCGTCGTCCCAGTTCTTTTTTTTTTTTTTTTTTTTTTTTTTGTACCGGGAAGTTGGGAACGTAACGCTACCAAATCGCATTTTTCTCAACGGAAACCTGCACCCGACGTGGCAATTGTGTCGTTTTCTCCCCAAATGGATCTCGTCTTGTTTCGATCCCGGGAGGCATACCAAATCAAAAGGGCTGGTGGGACAAGCCCAAAACGGAAATAGTTCGCACCTGTGCCAGTTCTTGTTTTTTTTTTCCAGTTATTTATGTGAGAGAAATCCAGGTGGGAAAAAGGACTTGGAGGGACTTCTGGTGGAAGAAGCAAAGGTGACACACGAAACACTTGCAAAAGCAAAGCACTCGAGTAGTCTCGGCTCGGAAAATGTCGTACATTAGCGCAATAGCGCAAAAACCGCCACCAACAACAGTCCACAACACCCAGGAACCGCCAGTCTGACCATCAACCTGACAGAGTCATGCAATCGCTGTTGACTCCTTTCGGTGAGAAGCACTGAAGAGGAGTCTAACCGGCTGTTAGCCAGTTAATATACCAAAACCAAAACGAGCTCCCAGGCCTATTTCGAAAACAAGCTAGGGGCCCGGTCCGCACACCAAAAAAAAAAAAAAAAAAAAAAAAAAACCAAAAAGCTAAACAACAACAGCAGCAGGCCTACTTTCGCCGCCTAGCAGTCCTCCTCCCCTACAAGCAAGCCTGTCAAGAGGACCAGCAGGCCCCCTGGCCAAATTTCTGGTATCGACCTGCCTTACTTTACACACGGGAATAGTCCCAGGTCCCATACCAGTCCCGTTTCTTAATTCCAGAAGCATGAATTAAGAACACGGAACAAAGAACAAAGAGACAGTCACAACATGCAAAGCCCCTATCTGCGGTCAACCAACGAATCACAAAACATTCAATCCAAAAAATCCTACCTACACTCCTTCCATGCAATCAGAGAAATAGAATCCTAAACATACAATCCAAAAGGTCCTACGCCCTCACCCCTTTCTCAATTACCGAATCGTTCTTTTCTCGTGCTCGGCTTCGTGCACGTACTCCCTACCGTTCCATTCCTTTCCCAACAATTCTGCCAACAGTTTTCACAATGGACTCTTATCCCTGGCAAAGTTCTTCAGTGCCCTCGTGAAGAAATGGTCGGGGTATTTTCTTCTTCTTAGCTCCAATTTCAACAACAGGAGCGTTTCAATCATCGAGTTCTGATAGATCCTGTGCAACGTACTCATTACCACCGCCATCTTCGACTTCTTGCTCGACCATGACTCGAAGTCCTGAAACACTAAAGATCAAGTCGGCACCCTCCAACAGTTCTTTCTCGTTCTTCATAGACAGACAACAACCAAGGAACGGGAATTCCTTTCTGACACTCAATCGGCATCCTAAAAAATACCAAGAGTCTTCACCATCGTTTGTCTTCTTCAAGGTCAGCGCATTGTCGTAACAGCTCTCGAATTTAGCCCGGATCACCTCCGCTTTTCTCTTTGATTCAGGTCGCCGACAATCGAAAGCTACAAACAAAGATGCATCGTCAACATACCGCAGACCGGCCACGAGGCGCCGATCGCTACCTAGTGACATCAGGAAATCCCACTCAGCTTTCGCTCACATCATGCATGCCAGCGGTGGGCTGGTTGATTTTCCCATCGGAACTCCTATGACTTGCTGCAGGACTACCTTACCTGCCATCGTGAAACAACCCTCTAGCTCGAAGTTTACAAAATTTCGGATATTCCAAAACTCACAAACTGAAATCCATCCACGCTTTCCTGTCTGCTGAACGGCGTGCCTTTTCCTCTGTGTCTAACAAACACACCAAGAAAACCTTTCGACTCAAACCACCAGATACACCAGTTGACAGCTCGTACGATTGCCGCATGCGGAAGTCTGCTAAACATATCTTTGATATCGTACGAGCTGCTCAAGATCTGTGCATTCCTACAGACACGACGCATACTCCGGTTTATCCCGATCAATCTGTCACGCAACTCAGAGACAAACTTCAAATTGAAATGTTTACTTTTTGGAATTGAAAACAACATTCCATTCAGTACACGTGCTATCTTTTTACATGCTGCATTACTCGGTTCCCTGAAAGTTGGACAAATCGGCCTGTATTTTGCCGTGTCCTTGTGTTTTGGCAGGGTGTACGCTCTACCCAGCTTCCCATCTTTCTTCCATTGCGCAATCTGTTCGAAGTTCCCGCCTTTGTAAGCATCATGCGTCAATTCGATGATGTCCTCCTCAAATTCCTTCCGAGTTACATACCCCTCGTTGCCTGTAAACGTCGTCTTCATTCCTTCTGCATACACTGCTGGACACATGACCAGTGTGTCACCAGGATTCCGATCCAAGGGACAACACACAAGCCCTCTCAAGTCGTCATGCAGCCGGCGTATCACGTCTGCATCGCCACTATCCCCAATCACATCCTTCCTCATACACACATCGATCTCCTCTCTTGTGAAATCTACCTTCCCCATATTCTTGCCTAACCAACTCAGGTCCGAGAATCCATCCGCCATTCCCTTGGACAGTCTCTCTGACAATCCTTCCTTCGCACTCTCGCATGTTCCTCCCTCGATTCTCTTCCTCCCATTCTCGGTCGCCACCTTCTCGGCATCCCTCCTCCGTTCTTTCTTCCCGCGTCTTCTCTGTTTTCTCGGCCGCCGCTTCACTCCCTTCGAGTTAAGGGAAGGTGACCATACCCTGATCAATGTCCGCTCGACGGCCTCTAGTTCCCTCCTGTCCGAGCTAAAAAACACAGGCACAGCTACATACGAATGGACTCCAACCTTTCCTAACCAATTGTACAGATTCCTCGACCGCTTGCTATCCCCACTCCTCACACACTTCAGGTGCTCAAGCCATCTCTCGGACAACGTTCTTTCTGTCATGGCCACATATGTCTGTTTATACCACGGAGAGATAACTACATAGACACAGCTTCGCGAAGATCGAAGGTCCAATCTACCGGAAAAAGCCTCCTGTTTCCATAGTTCTAAATACTTCTCGCCCCAGCACACCTCCCCTGCCAAAATTAATCCTAGCACAGACGCTCTCATCCGACGCTCATTGTCACCTTTACATCCACGTGTCTCCCGTAGCTTGGTCAGTTCGTCCACACTTCGCCAGAGATCATTAGGTCCGTCTCCTCACTCAGAAGCTCCTGCGTCATCCTGATCTTCGGATCCACTGCCTTTCTGTGTTCTTGTCGACCTTCTCGGACGCGGTGTTGTAGGCAGTGGGACGTTGATGGGGTCGTATGCCTTGATAGCACGACGCATCACCAAACGGTTGATCGCTGAATCCCTTTTTCCATACGAGATCCGCTCGTTTTTACAGGCCTCCTTCAGCTCCTCGATTGTCAATGCTTCGTACACAACCCGGATCTCTTCTTCATACTTTGCACGCGCACCGGGAACTGTTCCTGCAGTCACATGTCTAATTGACACCCCAATTTTCCCGACTGGTTCGGCAATTGGTGAAGACGTGCTCGCCATATGGCCCGCCTCCCGCAGCTCTTCGATCCTCAACTTGGAAGTCGTACCCAAAACAGTCCGTTGTCCTTTCGTAGGAGTAATCATTGGCGGGCTGTCGCCTACCGCCACTTCTTTACCCCTCTTCCGCTTCTCGTTGATCTCTAATCCAGCGGCCCGTCGTCGCAGCAAAATCAGCTCCGCATCCTCCTCATCCTCCTCTTGCAACGCTATCGCGCGCCTCAAGCGCTCTTTCTCCTCCTCGACAGTCTCGCCTCCCTCGTTCCGCTTGATTACTTTCCTTCTTGCTCGGAATGCATGATCGTTCTCATTCTCGCTGTCATGGCGGATCTCCTCTCGGATCAATCTGAGTAGGCGCGCATCCCGTTCATCTTCAGCGCGATTCTTTTCTTCCAGCTCTTGTAGTCTCTTCTTCTCTAGTTCCTTCTTCGCCGCCTCTTCTTTCCGTTGCGCTTCTTCGCTCGTGGCCCTCTGCTTGGCCTCTTCTCGCTCTTTCGCCATCTCGAAAAAGTACGTTCTCATCATGCTGTTCATCTCGTCCGTTTCACGTCTGGGTCCATAGTTGTCCGCCGAGTGACTTCTTCTCTCCGTGTCGGTTGCCATGGTGCGGCCACTACGTGCGTAAGGTGGTGGTGGAGGAACAAACGGGATCCCCTTGTCTCGGGCGTCCCAGTACTCTTCACAGACATTCGCGAAATGGTCAGGCTTCCCACACCGAAAACAGGTACGACCCGCCATCCTATTCTCGTTGCTCCGAGGTGGGAGTCTCCCTCCACCGCTTCCGGTCGATCCATCGGATCTGTAGGAGATAGGACCACTCTCGGTACTCTCCCGACTCATTCTTACTCCCAACAGTCACTCGCAACCGTCCACACATCCACGAAAAGCCCAGTCGATTCTCCGGCAATCGCCACGAACAATCGTCTTCTTCTCTCTCTTTTTTTGACTATGGAACTTCGCCGCCACCCCCTCTAGGTATGATTGCCTAGCAGGTTACGACACCAGTAGCTAGAAGCAAAGGTGACACACAAGACACTTGCAAAAGCAAAGCACTCGAGTAGTCTTGGCTCGGAAAATGCCGTACATTAGCGCAATAGCGCAAAAACCGCCACCAACAACAGTCCACAACACCCAGGAACCGCCAGTCTGACCATCAACCCGAGAGAGTCACGCAAGCGCTGTTGACTCCTTTCGGTGAGAAGCACCGAAGAGGAGTCTAACCGGCTGTTAGCCAGTTAATATGCCAAAACCAGAACGAGCTCCCAGGCCTGGTTCGAAAACAAGCTAGGGGCCCGGTCCGCACAGGAAAATACGCCAAAAAAAAAAAAAAAAAACCAAAAAGCTAAGCAACAACAGCAGCAGGCCTACTTTCGCCGCCTAGCAGTCCTCCTCCCCTACAAGCAAGCCTGTCAAGAGGACCAGCAGGCCCCCTGGCCAAATTTCTGGTATCGACCTGCCTTACTTTACACACGGGAATAGTCCCAGGTCCCATACC